CAAGGCAATACTCAGTCAAAAGAACAATGCAGGAGGTATCACAATACCTGACTTCAAACTATATTACAAAGCAATAACAAATAAACAGCATGGTACTGGCACAACAGACATGAAGACCAGTGGAACAGAATAGAGACCCAGATATGAAGCCACACAACTATACCAACTTGTCTTTGACAAAGGACTAAAAATATACGATGGAGAAAAAGCAGCCTCTCAACAAAAACTGCTGGAAAACTGGTTAGCAGTCTGCAAAAACTGAAACTAGATCCATGTATATCACCTATACCAAGATTAACTCAAAATGGATCAAGGATCTTAATATCAGACCCAAACTCTAAAGTTGAACAGGAAAGAGTAGGAAATACTCTGGAGTTAGTAGGTATAGGTAAGAACTTTCTCAATGAACCCAGCAGCACAAACTAAGAGATAGCATAGATAAATGGGACCTCATAAAACTAAAAGCTTCTGTTCATCAAAAGAAATGGTCTCTAAACTGAAGAAAACCCACAGAGTGGGAGAAAATATTGCCAGCTACACATCAGACAAAGGACTGATAACCAGAATATATAGGGAACTAAAAAACTAAATTCTCCCAAAACTAATGAACCAATAAAGAAATGGGCAAGTGAACTAAACAGAACTTTCTCAAAGAAGAAATTCAAATGGCCAAAAACACATGAAAAAATGCTCACCATCTCTAGCAAAAAGGAAATGCAAATTAAAACCACACTAAGATTCCACCTCACCCCTGTTTAGAATAGCCATCATCAGCAACACCACAACAACAGGTGTTGGCGAGGATGTGGGGAAAAAGGAACCCTCTTACACTGTTGGTGGGAATGTAAACTAGTACAACCACTCTGGAAAAAAAAATTTGGAGGCTACTTAAAAAGCTAAACACTGATCTACCATTTGATCCAGCAATACCACTTTGGGATATACCCAAAAGACTGTGACACAGGTTACTCCAGAGGCACCTGCACACCCATGTTTATTGCAGCACTATTCACAATAGCCAAGTTATGGAAACAGCCAAGATGCCCCACTACTGACGAATGGATTAAGAAAATGGTATCTATACACAATGGAATTTTATGCAGCCATGAAGAAGAACGAAATGTTATCATTCGCTGGTAAATGGATGGAATTGGAGAACATCATTCTGAGTGAGGTTAGCCTGGCCCAAAAGACCAAAAAATCGTATGTTCTCCCTCATATGTGGACATTAGATCAAGGGCAAACACAACAAGGGATTGGACTTTGAGCACATGATAAAAGCGAGAGCACACAAGGGAGGGGTGAGGATAGGTAAGACACCTAAAAAATTAGCTAGCATTTGTTGCCCTTAACGCAGAGAAACTAAAGCAGATACCTTAAAAGCAACTGAGGCCAATAGGAAAGGGACAGGAACTAGAAAAAGGTTAGATCAAAAAGAATTAACCTAGAAGGTAACACCCACGCACAGGAAATCAATGTGAGTCAACTCCCTGTATAGCTATCCTTATCCACAAAATCCTTCCTATTATTGCTTATACTCTCTTCAAACAATTAGAATAAGGGCAAATAGTTTCTGCTGGGTATTGAGGGGGTGGGGGGAGGGAGGGGTGGAGTGGGTGGTAAGGGAGGGGTGGGGGCAGGGGGGAGAAATGACCCAAGCCTTGTATGCACATATGAATTTTAAAACAATAAAAAAAATAGCCTTCTGAGGGGGACAAACATTAAAATAAAGTCAAATATCAGCTGTTCTAAGCATTATTTCTCCCTCTCTCCCCAATAGAATTATTCCCATCTTTAATTTCTTAAAATACATCTGTGATGGTGTACCAGGTAAAATATAACATTACTAATATTTTTGAAACCCTGTGAATATTGCCATGGTTAATTTATGTGTCAACTGTGTGGGCTAAAGATGCCCACATAAATGGTTAGGCATTATTTCTGGTTGTGTGAGGGTATTTCTGAGAGAGATGGCTGTTTCCAATGTGGGTAGGCACCATTCAACCATCCAAGACCTGAGCAATAAAAAGGTAGAGGAAGGCATCTGCCTGACTGAACTAAGACACTGGTGTTTTTCTAATCTCCCTGTGTTCCTGGTTCTCAGATTGTACACAGCACCTATACCATCTTTCCAGCAGTTAGGCCTTCAAATCAGCTCATTCACTTTCCTGGGTCTCCAGCTAGTAGACAATATGGGACTGCTTAGTGTCTAAAATTACATGGGCTAGTCCATCCATCCATTCTATTTCTTTGTAGAAACAGCTTTCCCTTGCTGTAACAAAGAGTGAGATACTCAATTTATAAAGAGAAGAGGTTCATTCTGGCTCACTGTTTTGGAGGTTTAAGTCCATTATTAGTTGGCCCTGTTGCTTTGGGTGTGTTTTGGCACATTACAGAGGGAGCGTGTATCAGAGCAAAATCACTTACTTCAAGGTCTGTAAGCAAAAGAGAGACAGGAAGAGACTGGGGCCCCACAATCCCCCTCAAGGGCAGGCCCCAATAACCTGAATACCTCCAATTAGGCCCCACCTCAAAGTTTCCACCACCTCGCAACAGCACCATTTGGGGACTGAGCCTTTAACATCCTTTGGGTGACAGTCCAGATTCAAAATAGAATAGTTAGACTGTTTTTTAATGTTTCTATAATTGGAATAATACTGTATATATTCTTCTGTGACTTTTTTCTCAATATTATGATTTAAGATTTATCCATGTTAGTATGTGGTGTAGTTTTTTTTTTTTTTGCAACTGTATGGTATTTCACTGTATAATTTATCATAATTATTTACTCATTCAAGTACTAATGAACATTGGGTTGTTTTCAGCTTCTTGTTATAATTAATAATGTAACCATGAACTTTCTCATTTGGGTCCTCTGGTACACATGGGTAAGAGTTTCTCTGAGAAATATTCTTAGGAGTGTAATTGCTGGGTTGTGGGGTACGCACATGCCGTTTTTCTAGGTGAAGCCATATTTTTCAAAGTGGTTGTATCAGTTTATACTTCCTCATTCTGACCAAGATCTGATTGTGTCACACTTTCACGTTTTTGCCAATATGGTGGATATGAAAATGTATTTCATCATTTCAATTTCCTAATTTCTGATGAATTGAGAGTTTTTTCGGGTTTATTGCCCAGCCCCTCTTTTAAGCAATGCTGTCACCTCATTTCTGCTCTCAGATTGGTTCTAAAATTAGGTGAAAGGAGCACTTACTTGAATTACACACCATCTGATATTTTCCAAGTCCTGTTCCTTCCTATCAGTCAGCTAAAGCCCTTTGTGATAAGCACACCTGGTCTACTTTTCTCTTTTCTGTCAGAATCTTCTAACAGTTTAGCTAATAACAGAGTACTTGCAATGTGTGTATTGATAAAAAGCAAAATGGATGAGTTGGGGGGTGTAGGAGATGGGAACAGAATGCCCCAGGAGGGGTGTCTGAAATTAGCAGGAAACCAACTAGAAGGATAGATAAAAATAATGACACCTGTGGTATCTCTTGGGCCAATGACACTATAAGAACTTATACTACTTATTTAGGAGAATTATTTCTAATCCTTACAATAATTAAGATGTATATTATTATCTCTTTCTTATAGATAAGGAGACTGAGGTTCAGAAGCCACAGAAAACTTTGGAACAGCCAGGGGAGAGCACCTTGACATGCAATAATCAGGAAGTCTTGTTCATTGAGTGCTAACCACCAAATTTGGGCACAAAATTGTATAATAAGGCATTGGAGATGTTTGCCCTTCATGGGATGTTGTTAATCTACTATGCTGGTCTTCCCAGAGACCATGAAAGGAAATAATACAGTGAAAACTGCTTGATTAACAATTAGGGTGGCCTAAATCTGACCCAGGTTCTGCCCCTCAAGTGAAGGGCAGGTGAAGCCCTCCCTCACTGTATAATAGAGAAGATAAGGTCAGGGATCCCCTGAAACTGCGTCAGCTTTGCCTTATAGATTGATAACTCACAATTTGTGCCTAAATTTCATTATCTTTAAAAGGGGCACAATACTGGCACCTATTTTGATGTATTAGTTTTTCATGGCTGCTGAAATAACCACAAACTTGTTGACGTAAAACAGAAATTTACTCTCTCGCCGTTTGGGAGGCTAGAAACCAAAAAGAAGTTTCACTGGGCCAAAGTCAAGTGTGTCTAGGGCTGTTCCAGAGGCCACAGAATTCGTCCTTGCCTCTTACAGTTTCTGGTTGGATGCTTCTCTCTGAGGCATGTGATTGCATTTAGGGAGCATCCCGAAGAGCCAGGATAATCTCTCCATCTCAAAAAACTTAATTTAATCTGCAAAGACCCCGTTCCAAATAAAGTAACACAAGTTCCAGGGATTAGGATCTGGTGTCTTTTCAGGCCATTATTTCACCTACTACATTTAGCTGTTATAAAGAGGAAATCTGCTAATGTTGGCAGAGGCTGAATAAGCAGTTTATATTCTCTTTTAAAAGTCCTCTAACGTCAGTCTTATAAGCCTGCTGTAGGGTTCAAACAAAATTCAGGTCTATCACTTAAAAAGGTTCAAGAGAGATTAAAGAAAAAAGTGAATGCTGAGGCCCGTTAACAGACCATGCAACTTGTATTTGCTTATTCCGATCTCCACGAAGACACAGGAACCCGGCTCACCTGCTTTTTAACACCTCAGGGCAACACTCCCACCTGCAGCTCCAGCGCCTCTCTCGCCCCGCCCCTCTCTCCCGCCTCCGGCCCCCACAATTTGGTGTCCCCCGCCCTTAGAGCGTTGGAAGCATCCGGGCCTTCAGGGCCTATCCACTATTCTGCCTGTCAAATTCTAGCCGATTTAATCCAATTATTTCTCCTTTGCAAGCTTTCTAGTTATTAAACAAATACATATATATTTAGTGACCTGGATGTTGGCAAGTCTTGTATCCAAATGTAATACGGCTGCAAAAATTGTCGGAACCAGACTGGCTATATTTAAGACAGCCTGCCAAAGAGGGGGCTGGGTCCTACGCGCTTCGGGCGCTGAGCCCAGGCCGGCAGCCGCGCAGGCGCAGTGGGTTCGATTCGCCATGCCGACTGTCAGCGTGAAGCGCGATCTACTCTTCCAAGCCCTGGGCCGGACCTACAGTGAGTGCCCGCTCAGTACCTTGAGCTCTGCGCCTCTTCTCGGAGGCTGGCATGCCTTCTAAAAGGGCATCGTGCGACATTCATGCTGCCCTGCAAGTTTTGGCCTTGGGCGATTATAGTGTACAGGGGAGGGCTGACGCGAGGCGGCTGTCTGGGCTGAGGAAGCTTCTCGGAACTGGCTGCGCTGCGCTGCCATCGTGTCACTTGCGCGTGTTCTGCCCTCCTTGTCATTCATTCAGCGATCTGACACCAAGCCCCTCTCCTAGTGCGTATTTAGCACCGACATTGGTTTCAGGGTACAGAATAGGAAGGTTGCCCCGAGTTGCATCCCTGGTGCAGGGAATTCAGTGCAATACGAGCGCTGTGGGAACTCAGTTTTGAGGATGAGAGAAGGAATTTGAGAAGAACAGAGGACAGGGCATTCCGTTTGTCTTCGTTTTATTTTCTTTAATACTTACTGAGCTGTTATGTGCCAGGCACTGTTTGAAGCCATGGCTGAACACGAGAGAAGGTCCACGTCCCTATTCTGATAAAGGAGGCCGACAGTAACTCACCAGCGCATTTATAAAACGATTCTGGATAATGTTAAGTGCTGTCTAGGAAAGGACGCAAGGTGATGTGCTAATTAAAGGAGTTGATGGAGTTGGTGACATTAAATCGAGTTCTAAACGAAGAGTTTGTTCCATGGACTTAGTCTTCACGCTACACTCCATCTCTTCTTCAAAAAAAAAAACACAAACATTGAAAAAAACAGGAGAAATATTAAGTAAATTATCGATTTCCACACAGATGTAGTAGGTGAAATGACATCTGCTCCACTCCATAATTATCTTGTATAAAGGCTGTAACAAGTGATTTTTGAGAGTTATTTTTTGGTATTGGATGTCAAGATGGTAACAAAGCTCTAATCAATTTACTAACAGGTTCAGCTTTATAGAATAAGATGTTACTGTTATTGTGAAAATAAAGTTAACTTAAAAAAACTCTACAGGTAATTTTAGGTTATATCTGTTTTCTAAGTGTTATTCTCTATAAGGTTATGTCTCAAATCCTTGAAAAGTGGAGCTATTACTCATGCCCTTTGAATTTGGCTCTAATTCTTTAACCATTTTTTAAATTATGTAGTAAATTAAGAAATATAATATTTCTTACCCTTCTAAACTATATTCTCACTAGTGGTATATGATGTACCTGAATTATACAGATGGTGTGTGGCAAATTTAAAATGTTTATCATCCGTTCCCAGCCCGGTTTCAATCCCTGAAAAAGTAAGAAATGATCCAAGTGAAATTTATAACCTATTCACTGTCTAGCTGCACTTCTTAATCCTCCCCACCCCACCTTATATTGAGGGTGGTCAGGTAAGGTTGATTTGTTTTCCCCAGAAAGTGTTTGTTAACTACTGGGTCTTTTGAAATTTTGATCAGAAATAGGTTATTGAAATATACTTTAGAAAGGTTTATATTGTGTCAATTGAGTTAAGGTCAGAGCTGGAAACTCATGTTCAGCAAAGCATCTGGTTTCCAAATAGTATGGATCCCTCTTGTTCTTTTCCTATTTTCCTCCTTTTTTTGTTTTCAGGTAATGTCTTATTTGTGTGTGTGTGTGTGTGTGTGTGTGTGTGTGTGTGTTTGTTTGTTTGTTTTTTTTTTTTGGTGGGACTAGGGTTTAAAGTCAGGGCTCACGCTTGCAAAGCAGGCTCTCTACCACTTGAGCCACATCTCCGGTCTGTTTGTGCTCTGGTCATTTGCTCTGGCTGGCCTTGAGCCTCAATCCTCCTGATCTCAGCCTCCTAAGTAGCTAGGATTGCAGGCATGAGCCACTGGCACCCGGCTCATTCATGAATTTCCTATCAGCAGTCTCTTTTTTAATCCCTCCAGTGGTTGCCTTTTATCTGTCTGAAATTCCATTACCCACTTTTCTAGTTGCCACTGTCCACTTCACCATGTCTGTCCTTATCAAGCATATTTCTCTCAGCTGTTTATTATTTTGGTTATTTAGTTCCTCTGCCTCCTTTGAACTGTTTCGTCATCTTAGTCTGCCTTTTTACTGCCTCTCTACTCATGTGGTTTTTTCATCATTCATTTTCTGGTTAATGGGTTTATTATTGTTGCTCTTTGATTCTGGCCTGGTGTAATAGTTGGCAATCCTGACAGAGCCACCTGTGTGTATCATACAAATTTAAGTTGTTTAGGTGTGTCATTTTGTTGGAGGAAGTTATTCATGATGTTCTCTCTTGCATCTGAAGCTGTGAAATACAGCTGAAAGAAATAGAACATAATTAGTATTCAATATACTTTACTAGTTCTATATAATTTGGTTTATAACCATTTAGTTTTCTTATTACTGCATAACAAAAATTAGCATCTTAAAACAATAACTTGTTTTATCAGTTCTGATGGTTGAGAGTTGGGGAGTGATGGGTTTGGCTCTGGCTTTCTTACCAGGTTTCAGTGAAGGTGATGGTCAGGTCTGTGGTCACCTTAAGGCCTCACTGGGGGCTGGAGAATCTGCTTCCAAGTTTACTTAAGTGGTTGTTGACAGGCCTTCTATGCTTGTGGATTTTTGGCCAGAGGCTTCAGTTCTTCCCACTGGCTTTTCCATAGGACAGCTTACCACATGGTAGCATGTTTGCCCCAGAAGGAGGTCTGCGAAAGCTGGTAAATGGAAGAGTGCTCTTGTAGAAGCCTTGGTTTTAAATAATTGTTTAGTGACATGCCATCCCATTTCATATTGCTTGGTTACAGATCAGTCATGTTTTGGTGTGGAAGAGGACTGTATAAGGAGGCAGGTATGGGAGACCAACTGCCCAGTCCTCCCCTAACCCCCAGTGATTCAGTCTCCCACATACAAAATATACTTGCCCTCAGAAGTAGCATCTTATTACAGCAGCATCTCAAAGTCCAGAATCTTATCATCTCAATCTCAGCATCACATTAGGTGCTGATGTGGATGAGGCTGTTGGGATGTATTTCCCTGAGTATATAGCACCTAATTACAGTTAGCTCTGGCTTGGGAGGCTCAAGAGGTAAGGTAGTTCCCTCCTGTGTATCTAACATGTAATGGGGACAGGTATAGGTACTGCTATAGACATTCCTCTTCTAAAGGGGAGAAAATGGAAGACACAGAGAACTCCCTGGCAGTTCTGAAATCTGATGGCACATGTTGGCTGTTCTTGATTAGTTTTCCAGGCCTGGGATAATTCTCCATGGCTCTGTGCCCTGCCCTCTAGGCTCTTGGTTCCATCCTCTGAGTGATCTCTAGAAAGCGTGTGCTTCACAGCTGATTAGTTTTCTCAGTCTACTTCCTGCTAGTACAGTTTTGGGGTTTCAAAGACTTCCTTTTATCCTATTTCAGCCCCTTTCAGTTCAAGCTAGCAAGGTTTCTGCCTGTGTATTTTTTCTAAAAACTTTGTGAGCCCTTAGTGAATTCTTATGGACTTCCATTTCATTAGTTAAAAGCCACAATATCCCCAAATCTCTGAAATTAGCTATTTTTGTAATTGGGTTTCTGCTCATACAGTGCTGTTGATTAAGCTCTATTGTGTGACTAATTTAATTTGTGAAGCACATCCTTAATTTCTTTATTGCACCTTTTGTTTGAATGAATTGTGTCTTTGATCTTTCTAAGATTTTGTAGTCACCCCTTTATTCTATCTTATGCTTTGAATTTGATCTTTGCTTTTTTTGTTGTTGTTGTTGTTCTGGTAGGATGGCCTGGAACTTGCTCCCAGACTGGCCTCAAGCTCATGATCTTTCTGTGTCTGCCTTCTGAGTGCTGGGATTGTAGGCATGCACCACTATGCCTGGCTTAGGTTGATTCTTAGTTTTAGCATTACTTTGCATCTAAGAAGGTTGAACATTTTCAAAATCATCAGCATCCTAGCTCCTTTTTGTTTAGCCCTTCCTCTTCTCTCACGTAGCCAGCAAGAAAAAAGATAGACTGCTCTTCATGCACTGGTTGGAAATCATAGTTATTAGTTATGTTACTCTGTTGGTCAGGTGCAGTTTCTACAGTTCCCCTAGCTGCAGTCAACAGTGTTGATTGCAAGGATTGACTGTCTTCTTTCTAATAACAGTACCTGCCGTTCATCTCTGTCCTCACCTGCATCCTGATGAGAGATTAGGAGGCTTCTACAAACAGCATTTTCAAGGCCTGTAGGTTTTTATTTACAGTCCTCAGTGTGTGCTGCCTGGTTCCAAAGCCATTCCCATGATTTTGGATTTTGTTATGGCACCACTCCATTATAGAGACTAAGATGTGTATTAGTAATCTATTGCTATGTAACGAAACCTAGGAGTGTAAAACATGCCTTTATTTCACATAGTTGTGAGAGGCAGGAATCAGTGGGTGGTCTGGCTGTGGGTCTTACCAGTTGGTAGTGAAACTGTCAGCTAGAACTGCAGTCATCTCAAGGATTGGCTGAGCAGGAATATGTGCTCCCAGGCTCGTTTTTGTTATTTCATCGGACCTAAGGTCACACAAGGACATGACTCTCTGGAGGCAGGCAGAATTATTGTGGGCTATCTTAGAGGCTGAGCACCTCTGCTACTATCTGCCCCAGCCTCACCGTTTTGTTTCCCCAAACCAGAGACCTGGGAATTGTCCTAGACTCTTGCTTACCCATTCACTATTCCTTCTGCAATCAGTCAAGCCATTGAGCCTTACAAATTTAATATTTCTCGTTACTTTTTTCTTCTCATGCATGTTGTTGGGTTTTAAATGAAGCCCTCACCACATCTCACCTATACTGTTGTAGGAGACTCCCTGCTTCAATCCATCCATTACTCTTTAAAATGCAGATCTAGAGATGGGGGATAAAAAAATGCAGATCTGTTCATGTTTGCACAACTGAAAAGTCTTTCAGGGTAGCTCCTATTGCCTGCAGATAGGACAGAGGACAAATTCCTCAGCATGTCATGAGTTCTGTTTTCTACTTGTGTTTCTTCCAGATGTGAACCTTAGTCTTCATCTGTATTGAATTACTGAGAGTTTTCAGCTTTGCCAGGCTCTTTTTTCACTCACTACAATCTCTGAGTAATGATCTCGTACAGTACCTGGCATATAATGGGTACTCAATAAATGTTTGTTAAATTGAAGTGAAGTTTTTTTCTTTTTTCCTACTCTACTGCTTGAGCCAGGCCTCCAACTCAGGCTTGTCTTTCGTTGTTTTGTTTTGGTGCTGGGGATTGAGCGCAGGGCTTCACACATCCTAAACCTGCTTTCTACCACTGAATGCCACTCATAGCTCTGATCAGAAGTCTGTGGATGTCTGTCTTTCAAATGGAACATAACGGAAATAATGGTTTCTGGTCAACTTATAGTGAAGTGAAAACCCTGAAAACGCTGTATCAGGTAACACAGCACAGTGGAATAAGAAAGAGAACTGTCGCTTCAAGGTATTATGCCAGGTTGATTACCTGCCTGATCTCATTTAAATCTTTCCTATAGTTCCGTGCTAAAAATGGGCTGAAAAAGTTATTTTGCGGATGAGGGCATTTATAAAGTGCCAAGAAAGTTTACATAAGGGGAGGAGGTCTGAAGACTAGTAAGTGGGATAGTTAGAATTCAAAATCCTGATTGGTACTGCTCCAAAGCCAAGCATCAGGCCTGCTCAGAGAATGGTAGGATTTATGCGGCATTCCTTTGTGTGGATCTTCCTGTTTGATCTGTATTAACAGGCTGGTTTTTTGTTTTTTGTTTTTTCCCCTGAGTCTATGCAAACTTACCAGCACCTGGTAACCTCATTCTGTAGTTGATGTTAGTATGGGGTAATCAGCCCTTTAATACTTTTGGTTTTCTTAAATTTTTTTTTTTCAAAACTTATGCTTAAATGGTGATGTCTGATACCTGACATTTAGTATGCTTGGTGTGAAGTGACTAATAATAAGAAAATGCAATTTAGATACAATTTTCAATTGTGCTGAACAAATTAAAATTAATGTTTCTTCTTTTCCCTAGCTGATGAAGAATTTGATGAACTATGTTTTGAATTTGGTCTGGAACTTGATGAAATTGTATGTATTGATATTTGCTTATTATTATTATTACTTTTAGATATTCTATATATAAGCTCATTTTTCAGTGTTTATTGTATTTTGTTTTTGTTATGTTTTAGTTAGATGAGGGCAATTCATTTGTGAGCCATGGTTACTTTTTTTTCTGGTGGTATTGGGGATTGAATGCAAAAGCTTCATGCTTGGTAGGCAGGCACTCTACCATTTGAGTCATTCCACCAGTCCCCAGTGTGATTTCTGTGTTCTCTGTTCTAGAGAAGATTATTTTGCCTCTTGGGTTTCATATTTTGTCTCTCTGGGTCTCCTTTTCATTTGTGTAGTAAGTGGTTTGGATTTTATCATCTTCATAGATCTTTTCTGGCTCTAAAATTTATGTGGTCTTTAATTTCTGTAAGATTTTGGTGAGTAGCACTGACAGACTGTCTTTGCCTGTGGTCTTTTCATGATTGAGGTACTGAACATGTAAGATTTAAGATGCTCTGTGTGTATGTGTTTGAAAAGAAATAGATCTTTTTTAAATTTAGATAACTTAATTTCTCTGGTTAGTGTATTAGCTCCTCTTGTTTATGAAGAACTCTTGTGAAATCTCCATTCCCAGTTCCTCAGTGAGGTAACTCAGCTCCACTAAAAGCAGTAATTTTATTACTGCTTTAATTGGACATTATTTAAATTCTGATTATTTCTCCACTCCCTCTCCCTTTTTCGTGTTCTTTTCCCTCCTGCTTCTTCCGCTTGCTCCTTTTCTTTCTCTTCTTTTTTTTTTCATTTTCTCTAATTTAAAATTTTTCCTCCTAAATTTGAGGTGCCAGGGTCAATGTGTTTTGGAGCCTGGCATGGCCCAGCCCTGTTTGCACCTCTGGTTCCTTAGGGTGACTCGAGCACACAGTGCTTAAGGTTGGAAGTGTTTCTCCATGCCCTGTGTGCCTGCACATTGTAGTTGTTAGTGTGGGCAGTGGTTTGAACTACTTACGTCGCGGCAGTGGAGGACAGCATGTGAAACAAACATCATTACCTCTGTTGATAGAAATCTGTCAGTTATTTTAGCAGGTTATTGGTGGTTAAAATAGTGGGAATTCTGGTTAAGTGTGATTTCCAAATAAAAGGTAACAGTAACAATTAGAATATAACAATCATTTCGGTTGAAAATTTCTTAAACATATTTATAGTTCTTCACAAAATAAACATGAGGAATAGAATTTAACTTCTCTTGGCAGTGGTTATCTTTAAAGAAATCTATTATTCTTTGCTCTAATGTAGTGATTAAGGTATTCTAAGCTCTGCCATGCATTAAAAATTACTGTTCCAATGGCATTTCTTTTCTTTCTCTTGGTTGCCCTTCTGCTGCTTAATACCTTCATTGTCCCTAGATTGTTTCCCTTTTATACCTATTATCCCTTTTAATTCCACTACAGCTTCTGGTAATCTCTTAGAGTGTTTTTATTTGCTTCTTTATTATCATGCTCATCCTTCTAAGCTTGGGTTCCCATAGGGCTTAACTTTTGGAGTCACCCTGTAAGAAGTTGTATATCTTTTATTAGGTGATTCATCCTTATCTCTTTGATCCTTGTTGTTGCTCTGTGTTCTTGGTGGTATCTTTATTTTCTTTTAGATAGTCAGTAGTTTAGATTTTGTATGTTATATTGTCTCTGTGATAGCTCAGTTAGGATTTGTCCAGGGACCATTATTTGCTGACCCTTGCTTTAGATGAGTTTGTGCTTTTCTAGAATGGCTGAGGCAGCTGAGTTGAGTATTTTTCTATCTGCTATGATTATGTTTAATAGTTTCATTGCAGTTATAACAAAGCAGTTTTTGTTACAGGAAAATCATGTACAATGTAGTTTATTAATCTTTTTTTTTTTGGGCTTGTTTCAGACTTCCGAGAAGGAAATAATAAGTAAGGAACAAGGTAACGTAAAGGCACAGGGAGCCTCTGATGTTGTTCTGTACAAAATTGATGTCCCTGCCAATCGGTATGATCTCCTGTGCCTGGAAGGACTGGTTCGAGGCCTTCAGGTCTTTAAAGAAAGGTATGGAAATTTATTCATTAAATGCTTTGCTAAGTGGCTCTCTTCTCTTTTCTTCCCCTGTCATTATCAGTAATCAGATTTACATTTCTAGGAAAAAACCTTGCATGGGTCATGCAGCTTTAGGTCAACATAAAGGGATGATTGGAGGATGAGAGTCATGTAAATCATAGCCATTTGGAAATTTAGTTGCATATTGAGTCATGGTCTCTCATTTGGTATATATTTTGGAGATTCGTGATTTTATGGCTTCTTAAAAAATTCTTTAGTAGGGTTGTGTGATTTCCCTCAGTATCTTAACAGAATGGATAGTCCATTGGACTTGTTAAAGTTTGGGAGGAAAAGTAGAGGCATCGATACTTTATGTGCTGTTACTTTAAAACTTGTAAGGAAGCTCAGGAGGAAAGCATCCTCACTGGAAAGCTTAAGTATTTTTTTTAACTTGAATGTCTTATGATGGCTGTATGACGCTATCTTGGGCATGTTTACTGGTTTTTCATAATTCAGTCTCCTGATTTATAGTGAAGAAGGTTTTTAAGGCTCCTTCCAACTACTTTTCATGCAGTAAATATAGAATATAATAAATCTACAAAGTGAAAAGGATACAAAACAACTCAGAAGTAATTATTTTTGTTTTTGACTACTTCTACATTAGCTGGTCCATTGCAAAAGAATAAAAGCCTCTGGCTGTTGGACTAGATTCTGAAATTATGAAAGCCTGAGATGAATGATAGGTGTTTGTGAAATGATAACGACTGGTCATTTGGTTGAAGTGGTTGCAGTTTGGGGGTTTATCCAATTGGTCCCATGAATGACAGTCAGATACTTTTATTTTAGAAGCAAAGATAACTTTTTAGAGTGTTTCCCAAACCTTCCTGATCAAGGTCTGTATTTTTAGTAAGTACCTCATGTGTATTTTATGATTACACAGAATTAGGAAGTGACTTCAAACCTTGCAACTTATAAGTATGGTCCCTGGGTCAGCAGCATCTGCATCATCAGAGGGCCTGGTAGAAATGCAGGCTGTTAGCCCCAGCCAAGAGCCATTGAATCCAGGTCTGAGGTTCAACAGACTCCTCAGCTGACTGCACAGACATGGAAATTTGAGAAGCACTGTGTTAAAACAGTAGTAGCTAAGTTCTAGTGATAAGAATGGCCTGAGGATGCCTTCAGAATGCACACTTACCAAGCCTTTGTCTTGACTTCCCTGATTCAATAAGTCCAGGTACGACCAGGGAATCAGTTTTTTTAGTAAACCCTATTTTTTCTTAGAAACTCAGAATCTCATGGTTGCAGTTAAGATGATCCAGTCCATCTCTTTCAACAATTGTTTTGTTAGTGGTTTTGTAATCTTTGCCAGGACTCCAATGACAGGAAAACTATTATCATGAGGCATCCTGTATCAATTTTGGACAACTTTAAATGTGGAGAGTCTGGTACTTTTTTTTGTTCAGTATTCAGCTAGAAGTTGACTTATAATTTAACCTATTGCCCTAATTCTGTTGTATAATTTATATTTTATACTTTTATATACTTTATATTTACAAGCATAGAATATAATTAATTTATCAAATGTTTTGATTAATTATGAGTAACTGTTTGAATATTATTTTAGGATAAAAGCTCCAGTATATAAACGGGTAATGCCCAATGGAGAAATCCAAAAATTGATTATCACAGAAGAGGTAATAAGGATAAATTCTTATTTTCCCCTGAGACATATCTTTTCTGCATGAGAAAAAAAGGAATAAAGCTGCTAAATGTAATTTTCTGTGATCATTTGCTAAGATGGATGTTTTTAGTTTCTAGTTGTTAAAAATGATCAATTATGAAGAAATAAAGAAAACAAAGTACCCGTTTCCCCTAATTTTAGAAAATAGCCAAATGCTTATTTAAAGTCAAATATAACCAAAATTTAACCAAAATGCTTATTTGAGGGCTGGCAGTATAGCTCAGTGATAGAGTGCTGGCTTAGCATGTGTTCAGTGTCTAGCACCACAGAAAATAACTGAAATAAAAAACATTTGAGATATAATTATTTAAATTATGCTACATTAATAAAATTTATAAAGCTAAACTTGGGGGAATTCTGGTAAAAATATGGATTATAAGCAAATTATTTAAAGATTTTTTTTCTTAATTTGTACATTTTCAAAAGTCTTACTGAGATGTACATTCTGTGAGGTAATGACTTTATTTCTTGTTTGCCATTTCATTACTTTTTGATTGAATAAATGAATATCAAAATTTGTGACCATGTTAGGAATGTAGCCACCTTACTGTTATAAGATACCATTATAAAGAAAAGCCTTAACATTACCATCTCTAATGTTATTATGAACTACAGACAGCTAAAGTACGACCTTGTGCTGTAGCGGCTGTTCTCCGAAATATAAAGTTCACCAAAGATCGATACGACAGCTTCATTGAACTTCAGGAGAAATTACATCAGAATATTTGCAGGTTTGTGGTTTAGTCCTGTCCTTGCCTTCCCATCTCGCACGCACCCTCTCTTTCTCATCCCTTTCCCTCTCCCCTCCTCCTCTTGCCCCTTCTACTTTCCCTTCCTCAATCCATCTCTCCTTTTCTTTAAAGCATTTCTAAACTAATATGCGAGAGTTTGTTTCTGTATATATGTATTACCAATAGTCATGCAGCCATATGACATGAAAATTTAGGAAAATGAAGAAAAGCTCCAAACACAGGAATTGGGTAGTTAATTTTAATTCAGTAAAACACTTATTCTTCCTCGAGGGCAACAAGAAAAAAATATGTTAAAAGAAGGTCTGGGGAATACTGGTTTTGTAGGTGTCTTAGGAACATAGTGCTTAGGAAAGCATAGTGGTAAGGAATTTGTTTCAGCTACTGAAGTAGTGTGTTTTAAGTAGCTTTATAATTTCTCACTATTTTAATGGTTGTGAGAATTTAATCATTGCATTCCACTAAAGATGTCATATAGTAACAATGGGTTGTTGTAGGGAGATGTTTAAAGTAAAATTTTAAAACATGTACTCTGTTATCTTTAGGATCTGCTTTGGAATATTCATATCTCTTTCTCTTCTTCTCTTGTGTTCCTTTCTTCCCTCCTTTTTTCCCTTGTCCTCCCAACACTTAGGAAAAGAGCATTGGTTGCTATTGGCACCCATGATTTGGACACTTTGTCAGGCCCATTTACATATACTGCAAAGCGACCTTCAGATATCAAATTTAAGCCTCTGAATAAGACCACAGAGTATACAGCCTGTGAACTGATGAACATATACAAGGTAAAATCATGAAATGCCTTCAAACTCAAGTCTTGGAATTAGGGAAATGTAACGAACGCTTTTGTAAAAATGAGTGTCTGGTCTGTAACTCAGACTGATTATCTGATTTAGAATGGGGCCTAGATCATGGTTTGGTTTTGTTTGTTACTTTTTGGGGGGTTGGGGAAGCAATACTGGGATTTGAACTCAGGGCCTCATGCTTGCTAGGCAAGGGTTTTACCACTTGAGCTAAGCCCCCAACCCTTTTTTGTTTTATTTATTTTTCAGATAGGGTCTTGCATTTTTGCCTGGGGCCAGCCTGGGGCTGTGATCCTCCTAGTGTGCCTCCTCTGCATACCACTGTGCTAGCTTGTTGGTTGAGATGGAGTCTTGCTAACTTCTTTTTGCCTGGACTGGCCTGGAACTGCTGTCTTCCCGATCTCTGTTTCCTAGGTAGCTGGTATTATAGGTGTGAGCCATCACTCTTGCCACATGTGATTTCTTTCTGTTTATCTAAATACTTTTCATTTTGTTTGAGATGACTTGGGTACAGTAATGCAAGTCTGTTTTTACTTTTGGAAAATTATTAAATTTTGTTCTCACCTCTCCCCAGTAGGAGATGAGGTTGTATGTTAAGATACTAATTTTAATAGTTACCTGGCAGGGGAGATACCATAATCACAAAGGTGGTTTCCCCAGGCGAGGCTTATCCATTGCACTCCAGATGTGCTGACCCCTGCGATTTCCCCAAATGTGGGAAACTCAATCGCATAATATGTGGTAGTGGGGGACTGGGTTTGCGCTCTCCCCTAAAGAAAAGAAAAAAAAAGATATTCATTTATATCTAGATATATTCATTTATAGATATATAATTTTATATTTAATTGGCCTCCTGGTTGGCCTAATTTGCTAGAATTAAAAGACTTAAGGCAGTTCCTACTATTCCAGTCAGCCTCTGAGTAATAGCTATAGAGTTTTAATGTTTTTATGATGTGCTGAAAATAATCACTGGTTGATTAACATAGGTAGGTAGTACAGTGGCTGAGCTGGCATTACACTGTAAATCTAAAGGCAGAAGTTGAATTCCCTTTTTACCAAATCCTGAGGTGATAAATTCATGGTGAATTGCAAATTCAGAGGAGCAGCTTCAACTCTTTGGGCTTCTCCCTCCTTTTTTCCCCTGACAGCAGGAAAAGCAGATTAAAGCCAGTTGATTAGGGTATTTTGCTATAAACTAAATTTCTGTGGGGTGAGATCCCGTTTGGAATATATTTGAAGTTTAGAGTTTTCTATGATTTGTGACATTTTAATGTTGTTCTGGCTTTCCTCCCTTTTCTTAAATAGCAAGTTCTTATGTAAACTAATGTAGTATAGAAATTAAAAACTAATTTTGACCTAATTTTTTTTCAGACTGACAACCACCTTAAACATTATTTACATATCATTGAAAATAAACCTCTGTACCCAGTCATCTATGATAGCAATGGTGTCGTCCTTTCAATGCCTCCAGTCATCAATGGTGCGTTACTTTATAAGCCTCATGGAAGTTTGCTGTTTCTTCCTATTCTTTAGTGTTTTTGTAGAATTCTCAGTAAACTTGGCTGAATCAAATTATGCAACTCTGGGTTTTTTTGGTACTGTGGTTTGAACTAAAGACTTTGCACTTGCCAGATGGAAGCTGTACTGCTTGAGCCACACCTCCAACCCTTGTTTTGAGATAGGGTCTCATTATCTGTAGCCCAGGCTGCCCTCAAACTTGTGATGCTCCTGCCTCAGTCTCCTGAGTGCATCTCTTAATCTGAGAATCTCAGGTCTTTTGTAGATTTTATTTTAATAGTTCTTTTTATTCGTTTATTCAACAACATTTTACTAGTGATAGTTATATAATTATTAGTGTATAGTTATATAATTATTAATGTATAGTATTTAAATGTATAAATTAGGCATTTAATTTATAAATGTATACATACTTATACATTATAAATATTTTCTGGTACTAGCCAGTGGGTTCTGTTAATATTTTTCTAAAGGGTGTTGTATTTTAGTTTTCATAGTAATTCACTTATAGTTTTATGGTTAAACTGAAACTTTTAATTTAGGGAGAGGTTTTTTTTTTTTTTTATCTTTTTTTTTTTTGGTGCTGGGATCGAACCCAGGGCCTCACGCATGTTGGGAAAGTGCTGTACCACCAAGCTACATCCCAGCCCTGAAACTTTTAATTTAAATTTTGCAGTCTTGATTCCTTTCTGAAGGCTATTTAAATGTGTTTTCAAAATTTAATGATGTCTATCCCATAGATATTTGAGTTTTTGGAAAGGAATGTTGTCTTGAAATCTTGATCTCTAATAGTTTTAGTGGTTAATAAAATGGCTTCAGAGTTACAAGATCTATACCCAGATCTCTCTTTTTCTTTTCCCCCTATTTTGGAGACAGCATATCAATTTGTAGCCCAGAAGGGTCTGCAACTTGAGATCCTTCTGCCTCAGTCTCCCAAGTGCTTGCTCTATGCCTGGCTACGTCCAAGTCTTAATCTTGCTGCTTAATAACTTGTGACCATGGTAAAGTAACTTAATGTTTCAAAATCTCAGTTGTCTTTCTGCAGTAATGTCATAGGGTTATGGTGAAGATTAGCTAGGATAATGCTCTGGATAAAGGCATGGCATTATTTTGTCTGTATTGTCTAACTTGCAGTGGGAGCTTCAAATAAAAGCTGTGTATCCTCTTACCTCTAAGGCATTGGTTTATATTGGTTCTAAATTTAAAATGTACTTTCTGTTCTGTTGAACTTTGCAGCTACACTTATTTTTCTGAAAGTAGCTGTTGTTTTCATTTGCAGGGAATCATTCCAAAATATCTGTAAATACTAGAAATGTATTTATTGAATGCACTGGAACTGACTTTACTAAGGTAAATAAAACTTTTAGTCATTTTTGAACTATCAGGCTAGATTTTACTTCTGGGCCAAGCCTACGTGGGTAAAATTTAAAATGTTTCTTATAAGTGGCAACATATTTTAGAAAAGATGAAATTATTCTGTACTTTGTTTATGGTGCTTTCATTAATTTGATAAATATTTAATGAGCACCTAATGTCTTTTCAGTGCCAGGAATTTAATGAGTTAGTTACATGTTTCTTGACTTTAAAGAGCTCTCAGTCTAGTGGGAGAGTTAGTCACATAGGTAACTAAAGAACACAGACTAGAATAAGTACCATAACTAGGTCTGTATGAATTGTTCGTCTTAGTTGGTATAATTTAAATGCTGAATAATTTGGTACCTTTGTATGTTTATTAAAAATTTTTTTAAAGTGAGCTAATTATAAAGTTTTATTTAGCAAATTGATAAAGCATTTATATATACAAAGATATCTAGAATATGTTTGATTATTAGTTGTTCACTCACTTTTAGTCATTACTTGTATTGTGCTGGATTGCTACACAAGCTTTTTTTTCTAGGATATGTAACTTTGTTGTACATGTTGAGTAAAGCACAGAGTGAGATGGCAGCTAAGCAAATTAAGAAAGGTAAACTGATGACAAGAGAGGGCTTGAGTATAGGAGTAAGGCAGAGAAATGGCACTCAGGTAGATCTTATAGGATTAGACTATTTTAAGGTTTTTCACTTAAAACTTTTATCTATATTTGCCTTTGTAAATATTGTCAGGGTTATATAGATTTTACAATTTAGATTTTTAAGAAAACATTTAAATTCATGTTTGGCAGACCATGGTTAGATATTGTCCCTGAAGCTTATATATGAATTATACACCCATCCCCCACCCCCCCACACACACACCCACATCCACACCCACACCCACACACACATGAGCAAAGTATGTATCACAGTAGGGTTACTGTATTTTTTCCTAGGAGTTTTTTTTTTTTTAATTAAAAAATGATTTGACAAACTTAACGTGGCTCTTACTACATATTAAGCATTGTTCTATATGTTTTATGTAGATTGATGCATTTAATTCTCATAGTAATGAGTAAGATAGGAACTTTTTATTATCTCCATTTAACAGATAAGAAAACTGAGATGCAAAGATGATAAGTGGCTTGTTCAGAATTATACCCTTAATAAGTGGCTGAGCCAGGATTCAAGCAGTCTGACTTCAGAGACTTACAAACTTGATAACATTTACTACAGTAATTAGCCATGTGTCTCTCTTAAAACCTGGTGAGCCCAGGTTGGGAGTTGGGGAACTAAATGATTTGTCTCAGTCATGGATTGTAACTCTCAGAGAACTTCATTAATGCAGAACACCTGAAGATAAGAACAGGTCTATTCATAAGTTGTATTCCACTTCCTTTCCTAGAATGTATGTGTAAAGGTATAATTTTAGGTGCTTGAGAGAACTGAATTATATTAAATATTTGTTATCATCTGAGCAAAGACAATGTTTTATAAATTACCATAGTATTTGTCTTTTTCTTTTATAGGCAAAAATAGTTCTTGATATAATTGTCACCATGTTCAGTGAATATTGTGAAAATCAATTTACGTAAGTTCATTCAGCACCTTTATTGATGGCCTGCTGTTCTGAAGCAAAGGGACTAAGGCTTTGTGCTAAATATAATGATAAAAAATGCGGTTCTGTAACTAGAGCATAGAATATGTTGAGGGAGCTAAGTCACCTTGCTAAATAATGTATAAAGTAAAAAGTGATAAGTACTTTGAGAAGTTTTGGTGGTATAGGAAGACCAAGTTCCTGCCAATTGAGGCAACCTGAGAAGCAATGGAATTTGAGCTGTGTTTAGTAAGAGTAAATCTACATGCCCTTGCCATGTACAAGTGTCACAGTTTATTCTAGAGTATTAATTATAATTCAAAGTAAGTGTGTGACTGTAAAAAGCATGACTAATATGATGTGGGTTATATCAGTTTGTTATTTTGTTTCTACAGTTGCATTTCAGTGGTTGTATGAGTTAGTTTTTCTTCTGTAACATACTACCCTGGCAAAGCCTGGCTTACATATCAGTATTAGAAAGGGGTGCATATAGGAAGCATGCTTTGCATGACTGGCAAAGAAACTTTTTAACAAGTGACATGGCTTTAAAGGGACAAGAAAGGAAGCCTCAGAGATGGAATGGTACAGGAAGGTCAGTTCAAACGATGGTGTTGGAATGTGGTAGATGGAGGGTATTAAGGCTAGAGTTGTGGATCAAATGAGAGATTTATTTAGGGTACACATTTCTAGAATTTATGGGCCCTTTTTTTTTTTTTTTAAGTGTTTTCTGACTTTTTCTTTCTTTCTTTTTTTTTTTTTTTTTTTTAGGGTTGAAGCTGCTGAGGTGGTTCTTCCAAATGGAAAATCAAATATCTTTCCAGTAAGTACTTAAGAAAGATGATAATGGTGACAGTACGACTAATAATGGCCATAGAGTGCTTGTGATCTGACTTTGTGATGTCAAATAGGTTGGCTATTATCATTCAGTAGTAGATCTAGCATTTAAGTATACAGTCTGACTTTAGCTGCCCACACAGTATGTTATACAGTAAGATTAGATGGCCATAATTCATGTGATTTATTCTTATTAGCTGGTTAATTTATTTATAGTTTCATCCCTTTTAAGATTACTCAGTCCTGCAAATCTAATTAGTCTATTCACACTTGAATTAATCATTGCTGAAGGACATCACTGTGATAAATAATTCTAAATGTGATAATAAAACTGATTAAATGGTGAATACTTTATTGTTAAGACATAGGATCTTGGAAATTTAAACTAGTATTATTCTTTTTGGTGGTTTTTTTTGTTTGTTTGTTTTGAGACAGTGTTTCACTATGTAGCCCAGAGTACTCTCAAATTTTCTAGGTAGCCCAGGGCAGCCTTGAACTCCCAATCCTCCTGCCTCAGCCTCCCAAGTGCCTATAATAGGCACATACTACTATGCCTGACTTAAGCTAGTAGTATACTTAATTAACTGGGCTTATTTTTCAGAAGATGACTTGATATAAAGATGGCCGTTCTCAAATGTGAATCTATCACAATCATTTAGTTGTGATTCTGATTTGGTGAGACCATTTTTTTGATTGGCTTTTTTTTAATCTGAATTTTTCATTATTCCTTTGTCAATTATGATGTGAATGAGGTTCTAAAATAGCTAAATATCTTTTAAAGTAGACAAAACCTGCCAAGGTTAAAACCTGCCCCTTCCTGAAAGCATTAGGGTTTGCGATACCTGTTTTTAAAAATTGATTTGGATTTTTTTTTTTTTTTCATTTTGATGCTGGGGATTGAACCTAGGGCATCACACATGCTAGGCATGTTTTCTACCACTGAGTTATACTCCTAGTCTTGATTTGGATTTTAGTAGCTTTTATTGGCAGTAGCTACCCCAAGACTAAGTAGCTTGAAGGGTGTATATCTTGTGATTGTCCTGGCTTACTGGATGGGTGTTCTGATCTGAGCCACCTTAACTGTCTCTACTGAAAATATATACAGTCACTGAGCATATTTGTAGACACTTGGCTTCTTGGCTAGCAGCAGAGTAATCTGGCATGGCCTCACTTAGATGTCTGCTTCTTGACAGTGGAGTCAACATGTCACCTGTCTCTCACCAGTAATCCATCAGGCTAGCTTGCTCTTCTCATAAGCTATTTTTAATAGAAACATTTAAATATTTTTGCAGTGCTGGGGATTGCGTTCAGGACCTTATGCATGCTGGGAAGGGCTCTGCCATTGAGCTCCACACCCAGACCAAGCTTGGGCTTCTTAACAGTGTATCTTGACAAGTTCCCAGCAGCAAGAGAGCAAATCCAGTGCTCCAGTGCTTTCCAGCAGGTGTCCTGTTGGCCAGTGTTGGTCATGGGGCTTGATTGGAGGGGTGGAGCAATAGACATACCATTTGATGGGAGGATCTGCAGGGTCAGTTTGCAGAGGAGGAGAAAATACTTCAGTAGTAGTTGGAATTAATCAGAGATAGCTTTTTAGTATTTTTTATTAGTGTCTGATTTGAGAAAAGTTTTTCTTTTTAACAGGAATAATTGCCAAGTGTTAATAAAACTGAATATATACTCTTGCAAAGGGGAAGAGAAATGTGTTTTAAAGTTTAGTTTACTTTTTTCTTCATGTAGATAACTGCTTAAAATTATCTGTATTATAGAGAGCTTTCATAAATTTGAAATGGTGTGCTTTCTGAAAAAAAGTGTTTTGGTATTTGTTAATTTATTTTCTCCTAAATGTAGATTAGAATAGTTCTTAGCTTGTCTTCCTATGTGGAAGGATCCTCTGGGAGAAAATGCTTCTTCCTTGCATGAAATAGCAGATTTTCTCAAATACTTTCAGAGTTCTTCTGTAGTCTTTTGTTATTTTGTAGAAAAGAAGGTTTTATAATAAGAGAACCAGAGATAAGTGGTAGAGAGTCAAAGAGACTAGTGGTTAATGGTGTCAGATTTAGAGTTAGACTCAATTTCTTTATCAGTTCATTAGATTATTAGTTATTTCATGGATATATGCACTTATTATTAAGTAAATGTTAGGTCGACGCTGATGGGAAGGCCAAATTGAAGCCAAATAACAAAGCAAGCAGGCTTTAAGCAGGCTTTATTGAGAGCGCGCTCTCGGGTGAGGTTCACTGTCCCCAAAGAGCAGGGCCGGAGAAGTCGCACCAGAGAAATGGCAGCCCAGTTTTTATATCCTGGGTGAAGTCAAGAGCTTAAGGTATTATGGGGCACCGGGATAGGTCGAGGTTTGGTGGGGAGGAGCTCGGGGTAATATGGGTCAGGACCCATTGCCTGCCAGCAGGAGTTGCCATGGTAATCATGAAGGGAAGGAGGGGATGGAGTGGAAAGTGAGCAGAGAGTCCCTGATCACCATGGGGTGGCTGCCCACCGGCCAAACAGTAAATACTGACAAACAGCTTTCTAAGCACTGGGAATATAGCAGCACTTGGGCTCAGCATCTTACCATTATTAAACCTAGGACTAGTTATTTATCTAAAACTCAAATTCCTTACTTGTACAATGAGAATTCTAATAATCTGTTGGGAGGACTAAGTAAGATTACATTAAAAGCATCTTGTAATGTTTTGCTCACAGTAACTATTCAGTAGGGCTCCTTATTGCTAGCGTCTACTCCAGTGTCTCCCAAGCTATACCGTGCATTCACATCACCTGGGGATCTTGCTAACCTGCTGTCTGGGCTTCCATATGTTCAGTGTCCCTTCTGCTCGCTCTAAAAGACCTGAAGTTGGTCAGCCTTTCTTATAGGCACTCAGGTGAGGACTGACTGTATTTAGAGTAGCAAGGCTATGACTCGTGGCTCTTACTTAGATCAAAATAGGTTTTTAAACTTACAGTCTTCTTGCTAGTGGCAGTTACACTTTTGAGAGTGACTTGGTGATAAATTTTCATGAGCATGTTTCCAAAGGCATTACAGGTAACGTCATGTAGCATTTGAAGGAGAATGAGCACCAGTTCATGAAACGCTCCCACCCCTACTGTCTCCTGGAGCAGATTGATAACCAGGTCCTGGGGCATTGTTGTTCCCCACATAAGAAATAGTAAGACAGAATTTTTTTTTTTTTTGGCAGCACTGGGGTTTGAACTCAGGGCCTCACACTTGTGAAGTGGGTTTGAGTCACTCCACCAGCCCCAGAAATGTCTTCTTAATACTGTAATAGACAGTATATTATGACACACGAATTATTCTTTCTTTTTTTTTTTTTACTGGTACTGGGGTTTGAACTTGGGGCCTCACACTTGCGAGGCAGGTGCTCTTCCATTTGAGCCACTCTGCCAGCCCTTTTTTGTGAGGGATTTTTTTTGAGATAGTGTCTTGAGAACTATTTACCTGGGCTGGTTTAGAACTGCGATCCTTCTAATCTCTGCTTCATGAATAGAATTACAGGTATGAGCTACCTGCACCCAGCTAATTACTCTTTCCTTATTGTACATACTATTTGCAAAAGATGAGACTGAAAATTTTTAGCAGGATTTGTAAATGTCTTGGAAATGATGTAATATGGCAGTGTTTTTTTGTAGGGAATGGGGACTAACCATCTAAAAGGGAAAAAGTGTTTTGCATTTTATATTAATTCCAAGTAGTGAAACCATCTAGCAAGTAGAATATCATATGTGAATCTAATGCAGCAAATTCATTCTTTAATAATGTTTTAAAACATCAACTTTGTTCAAACTGGGTACTGGTGGCTTACCCCATCATCCTAGCTACTTGGGAGACTTAGATTTGGGAGGATCAAGGTTAAGAGTTCAGCCCTGGCAAATAGTTTGTGAGACTCCATCTCCAAAATAGCCAGAGCAAAATGGACTGGAGGTGTCTTTGCAAGCGTGAAGTTGAAAGTTCTGCCCCCAGTCCCACCAAAACAAACACCCATCAAGTTTATTTTCAATATGTGGCTGTAAGGACTAAGTAATGTGTGTCTTGGCTAACTAATAAATCTGCAACAAGTAATTGATTTAGAAAGAGTCCAAAGTTGTATCTGATGGGAAACTCTTTTTCTTCAAGGAACTGGCTTACCGAAAGGAGATAGTGAGAGCTGATTTAATTAACAAGAAGGTTGGAATCAGGTATGCTTTGAACACTATTTATTTCCTGTTGAAGAGAATTCAAGAGCAAAGTACACTAGACCGTTTAATTTTTCCTGAGAGAATGCTTGGAGGGATTTTTTTTTCTACATTTAAAATTTTTATTAGCATATATTAGTTGTACAGGGGTGCTCATTGTGACATTTCCATATATGCTTACAATGTACCTTGGTTAGGTTCATCCCCACCATCATTTTCCCTCATCCCCCTCCTCCCCTACTTAAAATGATTTCAGTAGGCTTCAGTGTTCTTCTTCATGCACATACATAAACTGCATTGGCCATATTTACCCTTCTTTACCCTCTCCATTCACACTTCCCTTCCCATCCCCCTAACAGGGCCTGTTTTCTATTCCTGTCCCTCATTGTTTAAATGTATGTTCATTGTTCAAAGGGCTTTCACCATAATATTTCACCTGTGAATATATTGTACTTTAATCCGTCTAATCCCCTCCATTACTCTTCCTTACCTTTTCCCTCTACCCCATGTTGTTCAACAACTTTTAGTGTATTCTGATGTGCCTTTTTCCTACCCAGATGCAATGTATTTTAATATCACTCACTCTCTATCATTCTCTTTTCCTGTCCCTCCTCTCCTTAGTCTGGAGAGAGTTTTGATATCTTTCAGACTAAGTTGAGGAATGATAGAGCTTTAGTTAGGAAACCTGGTATTTTTTGGAACTCAAGAAGAAAGGTTGCTATTTCAGGTGGCAGCATCTTTTAAAAACAAACAAAATTTATATAATTCAGTGAAGTTTATGGGTTGTACATTCCTTTTTCAGAGAAACTCCGGAAAATCTTGCCAAGCTTCTGACCAGGATGTATTTAAAGTCGGAAGTCATAGGCGAAGGGAATCAGATTGAGATTGAAGTCCCACCAACCAGGGCTGACATTATCCATGCGTGTGATATTGTAGAAGATGCAGCTATTGCTTATGGATATAACAATATTCAGATGGCTCTCCCGAAAACATACACCATAGCTAATCAAGTAAGGTTGCACCCTTAAGTAAACACTCCTTATTGTTAGAAACTGATTATTGAATGCCAGGAAGGCTTCGAGAAAAACAGAACATAGGAATTAAGCAGTATTTGGACATGCTTTGCTATGAGAAGTGTTTGCTATGGAAAGGATACAAAACAGATGCCCAAATGATTAGAGTAAGTTGAAAACCTATGATGACTTGTTCTTTGAAGAAAGGTAGGTTTTGAGTGTGGAGCCCTTTTTGAGTCTCTAAAGGGATATTCATTTTCTCAACTTGGAACTGAAGGCAGAAGCTGTGTGTGGGAGGTGTGTGAATTGGGGTGAGGGGTATGCATCTGTGTAGAACTAGAGGGGAGGATGACCTGGTCTGTATGTGGGGGCTGACACTAGTTAATGTGTTAGTAGGGGCAGAGGGTAGTTTCCTTTATACTGACACGTGCAGTTTAAATCTCTTAAAAAAAAAAAGATTTTATTGAGTAAAACAGTGAATTTTTTTCCAGTTTCCTCTCAACAAGCTCACAGAACTTCTCCGTGTTGACATGGCAGCTGCTGGATTCACTGAAGCACTTACCTTTGCTCTGGTGTGTCTTAAAACATGCTTTTCTCTTCAGAGGATTATTTAGTTTGAATCTCTAAATTATTTTTTGTTCTGTGTTTATAAAATCTAAACCATTGAATTTCCAGATTCTAGAAGAATAAACTTACTACTCGAGGTTGTATAATTTCTGGGGAACAAATGTTGAAATATTTCCATTTATGGTCATATAAGAACATGAAGGCCTAGAAAAAATGTCTTAAGTGATGGGTGACAAAGTGCTTTATAGTTTCATATAAGTGTTGGTTCCACAATGAATTTCATAACCAAATTTATGAAGTTAGAATATTTGGTCTTAATTTGGCTGTGGCTATGCCCACTAGATGCCGCCCTAGTTAAGGTCTTGGAGCCTGTTCTACATTAAACTTATTTCTTTGTCTTTGAACATGTTCACAAACATTTGCTTTGAGTTGAAAAGCTGACATAAAAGGCCTAAATCAGGAAATGAATTTTATTACAAAATCAGAAGGAACTCTCCACCCCCCACCAGATTGACCATTTGAAGGAATAAAATGTGTATGCAATTTGTAGTCTTTCCTCTTGCTGAGTTTCTGTAGTTCCTGCAGTGTAGCTCCTCAGCGTCCAGTTGAGGAGTCATTCATTCAGCATTTATTGAGCCTCTCTTATGGGCCAGGTACTGTATCATTGAGGAATCCTGAAGCTGAAAGAGGTTAATATCTAACATATTTTACACAAACTCAGGAGAAATATGACTTGAATCCTGTCCTTTGGATTCCTGGAGCAGTGCTTTGCCACTGTCTCATGGTGTGTACAGTAGGTTTGCAGCACCATGTCATTTCCATTTGTGAGCATTCACAATTTTATATAAGGTGAAGTATAAAGAATAACATTGAGAAATGTAGTTTTATTTTTACAGTATGTAAGTGGCGTAGGAATCAGCACATTCTCATTTTGAAGGATTCGAAGTTTACAGAATACATGGAATAAACCGTGACAATTCCCCTCCGCACTTAATCCTATTTTCCTCCCCAGAACTAACTGCATGTAAAACTTGTCGTGTAATGTTCCCTGCCCTTCTGTGTTACTAGTCAGTTTTTGTTTTGTCACTGTGTGGCCCCATGTGTCTTTGGTGGAGGACGCAAACCACTGCCTAGTGGCTGTTCTCCAGAGAGGGTTTGCCCTGTGCTAAGGGCTGTGTGTGTCTGTGTTCTTCTCAGCACAGCCCACTGAGGTGGGCGCTCCTGCTTTCCATGGCAGTAATCGCGCTTGTTCCACTCCACACAGCCTTGACTGTGGACTGAGATCGCAGCCTGGCTGTTTTCACCCTAGGCTTGTGAACTGTCATACTAGAAATGTTAGAAAGTCTGTCCAAAGTCACTTTAACATGTTTGTTTTCATCACCAGAAGGAAAGGAGTGACACAGAGAGTTTAGATTTCAAATAATAGTCTTCCTGTAGGAATTTCACCATTAAAAGTATTTATAAAGTTATGTATTTTATAAATAAATCTCAACACCACTGAGAAAGTGGTCTTTATTGTTACATCCAGTTTTGCACAAGAGTGACAACTAGTCTCTTTTTTTTTTTAAAGCTACGTCCTTGACTTCCCAAATAAGGAATTCACATTTCATTATTATCATTTATGCTGTCTCTACATACTGGTTGTAGCATTTTCTTTTCAGTTTTCAAATGAAATTCCCACTGTAGTTTTATTATGAGTAATACCCGTAAAAATTATGTGCTTTGTTATTTTATTCTTCCTAATACATTGAACACAAATATTAACATTTAGAAAGCATCTCCTTCCTGTGCCCTTACTGCTGCCACTTGAGGATGGCTTACTTTAAATGGTCTCCCGTCACGTCTGTGTTGTCCACCCTCACAAGCCCACTCAGATGCGTGGCTGTATTGCCAGTGTCTGTGGAGCCATGTTGTTTTTCACGCGGTGCTGGTTCTGTTTGAGAGTGTATTGCGTCATATAAATCGCACTTTTAAATTAATTGATTGCATTATGTCGAATCTTGCTGTGCACAGCCCCCTCTGCTTCGAGAACAAACTTACCTGCAGCATGCCTCTGCAGCTACAGCAGGTCAGGGAGCTCTTTTCTGCTCTGTCTGGATGTGGCTTCACGATCTTTCCCAAGAGAGCATGGCAGGAGTCACTGTAGCTGGTGTTGGCATAAAATAAGTTCTTTTTACCGTTTCGGTTATTTACATCACTTTAAAAAAGTGATGTGCAGAACATTTTTAGAACAGAATAGTATGACGGGCATTGCTGTAATGTTGGAAAACAGTTCAGCAGTCTGATGTTTTATCAGTTTTCATGCTAAGTTTTAAATTCTTTTTCAAAAAGTTAGCATTAATATGTGTCATAATTGCTCACCCTTGGTAATGGTATGTTGAATGTCATCACTGTTGGGTTTTGAGCACTGATCCACCAGGCATTGCGCATGTGTTACCTCCTTATCTCACTCATTAGTAGGTTTGCTATATCTAATACTAAGTGGGTTTTATCTGCATAATTTCTGCCTATTATCCTGGTTTCTGAGCATGACAGCCATTTTCTGTCTTTGGTGGGCAGTAGCTTAGCAGTTTATTTGTGACTAGGAGCCTCAGCAAGCACATTCAAGGAAGTCTTAATGATATAGTTAGAACAATGGGCAGAGCTGAGGCCACTTGAATTCTCTCCATCCTGACATTTTGCCATAAGTCAGTGTGGATTGACAACAATTACATTGGCAGTTAAAACAGAGAGCCATGGGAATACCATGGAGGGAGAGAGAATTTCTGACCGGAGTCATTAGATCAGAAGTTTTTATGGAAGAGGCTAGAGAAGGGTCACATAAGTAGAGCTATGTGGGACTGGGAAGGCTTTTCCAGTAAAAGTATAAGGTTTAAGGAATGGGTAGAGAATCAGGAGATTAACTGGGAAGCCTCGGAAGGATCTGGGTATAGTTGTACCATCTCTACCTGAAAAACTTACTTTAGCTCCATTTTGTAGCTTGAACTCTTAGTGAGAGAACTGTTAATGTTTAATTGCATCTTCTGTGGACATGAAACTGACACATCATTAATTCCTAAAATTAATAAGCTAAGTTTTTAGCTTATTATTAACTCACTGAGTTTTGTAGAGACTATACATTGCTATGAGACCATTGTAAGCTGAATGATAGCATTAACTACTTTTAAATTAAATTTAGTCACTTCTTTTCCATACCAATTATTTTATATGTGCTTCTTAGTGCTCCCAAGAAGATATTGCTGATAAACTTGGTTTGGATATCTCTGCAACAAAGGCAGTCCACATTAGTAATCCTAAAACGGCTGAATTTCAGGTAAGAATTTAGATAAAAACTGTGAGTTAGTACACAAGTTAGGAAACTTGTATTTCCCAACTTGAAGAGAGTTGTGTACTCACTCTCTTCAGTTATTATACCTGAGATGGCAAAATCTTAGAGCTTGAATAACTTAACAGTTGGTTATATGCTTTCTTAGTAGGCAGGCATTCTGCCACTTGAGCCATACCACCAGCTCTTAACTCTTGATAAAACTTCTTTAAACTGTTGTTTGTTTTTGTGATGCTTGAGATCTAACCCAGGGCCTTACGTACATGAGGCAAGCCCTCTGCCACTGCATCCCCCCAAATCTTTAACTTTTAAATAAGTTCCTTTTGATTAACTTAATAGTTCTTTTTCTTTCTTTCTTTTTTTTTTTTTTTTTTTTTTGATACAGATCTTGCTATGTAGTCCATGCTGACCTCCACCTTATGGTCATTCCTGCCTCTGCCTCCTGAGTGCTGGGTATATGTGCAGCATCACACCTGCTCGGTAGTTGGCTCTTACATGCTTTGTGCTGTCTGGCTCAGTCTCTTCTTACCTGAACTTTCCACTTCATAGTTGAGTTTTTGCATGCTGTTGTCAGATTTTATCTCTTTTTTTCTATTCCTTTGTAATGGATGCATCAGAATCTGTTCCTTGAGCCTTCATAAGTCACTCACTTTGAAATTAACTATCACATCACTTCTTCATTGTACTGCCCTTGTCTTTCATGGTAGTTGTCTACATTTATTGGTAGTTTCATGTGTGGGGTAGGAATATCTAGACGAGAATTAAACTACTTTAACAGTTAATGTTAAATGATTTATTGTTACACATTAGTATATTTAACTAGAAAGAGAGGGCATTTCAAGGTTATAATACTCAATAATTTTAGAGTCCCAACCTCATTCATACTAATAAACTCTCAGTTTTTCTGGCATATGTGATTCTGTTTTTTAATGTAGGGTTAGAGAAAAATCATCCCTTCTTCTAGATTCAAGGGGGATATTAGAACTGGAAATATGTGCTTTTTGGTGTGTGACACTGGGATTTGAATTTAGGGCCTTGTGCTTGCTAGACAGGTGCTGTACCACGTGAGCCATATCACGGCTAGGTTCTGCTGCTAAATATTATTGTAAGTTATATCTGAACTCTGATTTGAGATAGTTTCTTTGGACCTTGGTTTTCAGTTATAAAAAAGCAGGGGGCTAGATTAGTTTAAGAAATTCTAGAAGTTCTAAAAATATATAAATCTAAGTTAAAATTATAAATTTTATCTATAGAGCTAAAATGTGCTAAGTTAGAGCTAGACTAGTTGCATAGAGTGAGTTTTCAGTAAATCTTAATGGAATTTTGTTTGCTTATTCCAAATGTGTTGGTTTTTTTCTTTTTCTTATGGTACTGGGTCTTGAACTCAGGGTCTTCACCTTGAGTCACTCCACCATCCCTATTTTTGTGAAGATTTCTTCAAGATAGGGTCTCACAAACTATTTGCCCCAGCTGGCTTTGAACTGCGATGCTCCTGATCTCTGCCTCCTGAGTAGCTAGGATTACAGGCCTGAGCCACTGGCACCTGGCTTCCAGTTTCATTTTTTAAGTGTGATAGATTTCTTAAGATGTGATAACTGTTATGTTCTTCAGGTTTTATATCTTGTCTTATCTATTTTATGTAAGTGGAAGGAAAACAAAGCAGCCCAGCAGTGAATTGAATTTCACTACAGATGGCTGTGGTTTAGCATACTTAGGAGTTAGTATCTCTGGAGAGAGAATGTCTGTCTTGTAGATGTGACAGGTTTTATATTTTACCTCTACTTTACCACCGGATGCATCCTGCTATTACTAATTTGGCTAAGAGAATTACATTTTTGATAAAATTAAACATAAGGTTAGTTAGAAGCCTTTGTTTTTTTTTTTTTTGGTGGTACTGGGACTTGAACTCAGGGACTTAGGCTTGCTAGGAAGGCACTCTACCACTTGAGCCACTCCACCAGCTAGAAGCTCAGTTCTTAACTTTGGGCTCTTCTGATAGATGGTAGATGTGTTAGAGACTGAACAAGATAAGAAAAAATATTATTTAGGTGACGTATGTAAAAATTTATTATAAACACAATTATGAAATACTGTCGTAGTTAACAGTACTACTAAGTAATATCCTCAGATGTTCAGTAACTGTTTAAGTTTTCCTAGTTGTCTTTTATAACAGTTTGAGTTGGGATTCAAATGAAGTTTATATATTGAAGTTGATTGATTTGCTTCTTTAATCTCTTAATCAACAGGTTGTCAATCAGTCCATCACCCACCACCTCTCTTTCTTCCTCCTTCCCTGTCTCCTTCCTTCCTTTCTTCCTTCCTATCTTCCCCATCCCTCTTTCTGTTTGTTGAAGAAACTAAATAATTTGTCTTGTAGAATTCTTATATTTAGGATTTTGGTGAATATCTTCTAATGGTAAATATCTTCTGGTAAAATGTTAGTTAGGTCTAGAAGCTTGATCAAATTCAGACTTTAATTTTTTTATTGCTGGTGGTTTTAAGTAAGTAACTAAGACTTATCTATAAATTAAACTGAAGGGCTGGGCATGATGACTCATGCCTGTAATCCCAGCTATATAGGAGAGAATCACAGTTTGAAGCCAGCCCTGGCAAAAAGTTGGCAGGACCCATCTCAACAAGTAAAATGGGTGTGGTCGTAGTATTACTATAATCCTAGCTACCTATGGGGAACCATAGGTAGGAAGATTGTGGGCCAAGTCCAGCCCAGGCAAAAACTTGAGACACTTTCCAAAAAATAGTTTAAAGCGAAAAAAAATGCTGGATGTGTGGCTCAAGTGGAGTGCCTGCCTAGCACGCATGAGGCCATGAGTTCAATCAGTAAGGATTAACTCTAATAATCATAAAATGGAACAATTATAACAATATCCTGTATTAAAGGTTATGCAAATGTAGAGTCTCTGTGCCCAAATACCTTGTTCTGCTGCAGATGTTAGCCATTTCATCATACTATTTTTTTTTTTGGCTTAAGTTGAGAATTTTCACCTTTTCATTTTGAAGAGGCTTCTCTCTGGCATCATCACTATGCTTACACTTGGGGGCCATTATTTAAACAAAGTAAGAGTACTTGAACACAGCATCAAGGTCCTTCCACAGTTGACCTGATAACTATCACAGCTGCAGTGACTAATGCCTGGCTTGGATGGAGTGGGATGCTGAGAGACCTTCTGCTTCTCAGAATAGCACTCAGTTTAACACTTGTGAATTACTCCTGGAATTTTTAATTTAGCATTTTCATACTGCGGTTGACCATGGTTAGCTGAAACTGGAGAGCAAAACTGAGAATAAAGGGTCTTGTTTCTATGCTTGGTTTGGGCATTTTTTGTCTGGTTGGGAAAGTAAATAATATTTAAGAAAACACAAGTGGAAGACAGCTTGCTGATAGAATGATGAGGAAGATGTTCTTTTTTCCTGTTAGTTTATCAGCAAGTCATTTTAGGGGTTCACTGTTGACCTGTGCAGAATCTCAGGGGGGCTTCTGTCAAGGTAGACTTCTGTAGGAGAGGACATCTGAGCAGGGATGTGAAGGCAATGAGACTGCCACTTACAAATCTGGAAGAAGGACATAGAGACAGAGGACAGACCAAGCGTGGAGGCCCTGAGAGGGAAACTGGCTTGCCGACCCACAGCATCCAGTGTGACTGGAGTCCCAGCATGGTGGGAGGTCAGAGAGAGCCAGGCCACACCATACAGGCCCACAGAGGGCATGCGTTTTATTCAAATTTTCATGGAAACCTGTTGGCAGTTTTTGAGGCAGGAAGTTCCATGGTCTGATTTAGATGTTAAAGGACTGTGTGGAGAATAGACCTTAAAGTTAGCAGGAAGGGAAGCAGAGAAGCCAGCCTAAGAAGCTTATGTCATGGTCTGGGACACAGGCTGGTGGTGCTTGGAGTCCAAGTGCAGAACATGACAATTGTGTCATACCAGTGTTCATGAAAGCCTGCTATCAACATGACCTGTTTGCTGGAAGTAGCTTAAAGGAAGAAATTTATTTCACAAACCAAAGCAGTGAAATTTTGTGTTTTGTTTTTAAAGAAGTAGGATTTGCATTTCTTCCAACTTGTAAGAATGAAATTGAGGCACATATATTCCCGTTTGCTCTAGGAAATAGAAACCTGAGAGCTGTAGTCACAGCCTGCTCATGGCAGCTATGTAGTTGTTTTAATGTCTTACCTATTTACATTGTATTTTCCTCATTGCCCTGGTATTTGCTTTGATATTTTCTCTGGCACTGGCTTTTAAAAATTTGATTAATTTATATGTAATTCATTTAAATATTTGTATTCTTATAATCTAATTAATTTATGAAGGGAAACAGTAGATGAAAATTTATGGATTTACAATTTTGAAAGCCAACTGTACATTTTAAAAGATAATTAGAATAACTAATCTTTAAGAGCAGTCATCTATAAGTTATATTTATTTCTCACTTGATTTTAATCAAATGTATTAGTTTCTGTTTTGTAAAATTGGAATGGAGAGTATTTTTACTTTCACTTCCTTTAGGGAACTGGAATTGAAAATAAAAATGATCTGGCTGTTTTAGGCTTTGTGTTTTCCACAAGCCATGGGTGTTTCCGTTTGTCTTAAAGGGTGTCTGTTTGGTTCCTTTGTGGCTGCTGCAGTTTCCTGTCTTTTCCTGTAGGTGGCACGCACTACCCTTCTTCCTGGCCTCCTGAAGACCATAGCAGCTAATCGGAAGATGCCTCTTCCTCTGAAACTGTTCGAAATCTCTGATGTTGTAATGAAAGATTCTAGCAAAGGTAAGGGTACTTTGATTTGCATACTTATAGCACTTTTTACTGTGAAAACTTCAACTCATATAAAGTACAGAAAGTACCATAATAAACCAGCACCCAGCTTCACCAGTATCAGCACATGGCCAGGCTTCTTTCACCCATGTCCCTCCAACCTTCTCATATGCTTTTTTGTAAATCTGAGACAGTGTATCATTTCATCAGCAAATATTTCAGGTCATATTTCCAAATGATAAGCTCTGTCATTTTTGTGTTACTCATTTGTTTTTAAATAACTTGGCACCATTATTACAGCTCATTATTATCAAGCAGCCTAGTGTTTAATTTTCCCACTTGTTTGATAAATTTATTTTTATGATTGATTTACTTAAAGGAAAATTCTAGCAATGTCCAGATTTTGGCCGCTGTCTCTCATTTCTTTGAATGGTTGCTATACCTCTCATTTCTTTTTCACAAAGAATTTAATAATATTTTTGAAGAAGCTGATTAAAACCTCAACTTGAAAAGCACCACAGGGGTCTGGGATGTAGCTCAGTGGTAGAGTGTATGTTTAGCATGTGTGAGGCTCTGGGTTCAATCCCTTGCCCCACAAAAGGGGAAAAGAAAAACTATGAAGCATTTTTCTCTCTCTCTCTCTTTTTTTGGTGTATTGGGACTTGAACTCAGGGCCTCACACTTGCTAGGCAAGCTCTCTATCACTTGAGCCACTCTGCCAGCTCTTTTTTGTGTTGAGTATTTTTGAGATAGGGTCTCATTTTTGTTGCCTAGGCTGACCTCAAATTGCAACCCCCTGACCTTTGCCTCCTGAGTAGCTAGGATTGCAGGTGTAAGCCACTGGTGCCTGACTTTTTTTTTTTTATATTGTGTGATTTAAATTTTAACATATTTGATACTGTGGCATTCTAGTTTATCATTGATTGCCCAACATCATTGTTACATCAGTGATCATGAATGTGGTTTGTTGTTTTTGTCCCTTTTGAGTACAGTTTGGACTTGTTAGTATAGCACATTTCTCAGTCTAACACTTGGAATGCAGTGTTTATTCAATAAATACAAATTTAGTGAGTGTATAAACTTGATTGCAAGGAAGTGTGTCTCATTCAAAGCCCACGTCTCCATCTCCAATGCAAGTCTGACTGACTGTTTGGACCTGTATGTGCAGTGGTCCTCTCGAGCAGTGCCTCAAATTAAGCATTGCTGGCAGCCTTCTGTGTTCCCAGGGTTTTATACAGCAAGTCCTAACAAGTTGACTCCTTGTTTCTTACTCCAAACTGCGAAATTCAGAATATGTTACTTAGAATCGATTGACAGAAGCAGAGGCCTTTTCCTTGATTTCTGGTGAAGAGGGTAGGAGGCGTTATTCTTAACTGCCAGAGGCAGTCAGAAGCTGTTGGCTAAATCAGCCCTTCTTGGATAGTATTGTAAAGACGTCACTTTGACTTTCATATGTGGATGTCCATAGCAAACTTCATTCAAGTCAGGTTGCATCTATTCTCCAACTTTGTCTGATTTAACAAATTGGGAAATTTAAATAGAAACCTGGGACTATGCTCAGGGCATCATAAAATACTGGACTTGAGGCTGGGACCAGAATTCCCATCTTGGTGCACAGATTGTTAGAGGATAAAGTTCATTTTCATATCAGTCTATAGAATTTTCTTTGGGTTACCGCCCATACCTATGATAGAAAGTAGAAAATATTGCTAGTACAGTTTGTCACAATTTCAGTGTAAAATTTTCTGTTAACTTTGACTTGTTCCTTTTCACAAAAAGACTTAGTTCTTTTAGTTTTATATTGTCTTGATCCTTGATCTGTTCATATTTATAAATATAGGATTAGGCTCATTTAAAAAAGGTTTCCTCCAAAGTTTTGTGACACTCAGCAGTAGGCATCTTCCATAATTGCCAGGACTCCCTAAGGGCTCTGCAGAGCCAGGTGTGCTCACAAGCTGTGGCTCAGACTGGAAGGTGAGGGTGGCGAGCAAGTCTCCTGGTTGCTGCAAAGAAAACCTGGCTGTTGGCATGGAGCATTGTACTGTATTGTAATCCTGGGTGGAGGGTTCTGCTGTTTCTCTTTTGATCTGTATGTTGGGAATGCCTAGGCACAGACTCTGCTGTTTCTCCTTCTGGTCCCAGTGCCTGTGTTTGGACAGAACTCTTTTGAGAGATGTTAGTCTCAAGTGCTTATGCTGTCAGTCATTTTTTAATAAACCTAGTCTGTATGCTTTTTTTTTTTTTTTGGGTGGTACTGGGGTTTGGACTCAGGGCCTTCACCTTGAGTACTCCACCAGCTCTTTTTTGTGATGGGGTTTTCAAGAGAGTGTCTCTTGAACTATTTGCTTGGGCTAGCTTTGAACCTTGATCCTCCTGATCTCTGCTTCTTCAGCAGCTAGGATTACAGATGTGAGCCTTTAGTTCCTCACTACTCTGTATACTTTTTCACTCAAAGATTTGCATTTCTGTTTTACTTTGTTTCATCAGAGAGTGAGTTCTTGTCTCTATATTAGACTTCTTTTTTCTTGCTTTTAGTTGAAATTTTTCTATTCTGTTTTCCCCATGATTTATTTCCATCTGATTCTAGTTTTTCCATTGTCTTTTACTGGTTTATACTTTTTTTTTTTTTTTTTTTGTGGTATTGAGATTTGATTCAGGGCTTCATGCTTGCTAGGCAGGCACTCTACCACTTGAACTATGCCTCCAGCCCTTTTTGTTCTGGTTATTTTGGAGATAGGGTCTTGCTTTTTGCCTAGGCTGGTCTGGCCTGTGATGCTCCTATTTAAAGCTTCCTGCATCACTGGGATGATAGGCACATACCACCATGCTCAGCTTTTTTTCCCATTAAGATGGGGGCCTCACAGATTTTTGCCTGGCTTGGCTTGGAACCTCACAACCCTCTCAATCTCAGCCTCCTCAGTAGCTAGGGTTATAGGTGTGAACCACTGCTTTATTCTTCTCAGAAAAGTATTTTCTGTCATATTTGAAGGATCTGAAAAGTGTAGGGAGGTAAATGTGTTTAGTAAGTCTACCATCTTGAGCACAGGTTTGCTTTGGTTTACTTGGAGTATGTTTTGTGTTTAGGTGGGCCTGGATTTTATTTCATACCAAAAGAAGTTTTTCTGATGCAGTATTACAAATACGTACATGTGTGTTCTCTGGTTGTCGTCTGGTGCACGCAAAGGACTCTATAGGAGAGGCAGTGTGGCATCTTGGTTGCATGGACTTTAGAGCTTGAGCGCTTGAGTTTCAGTCACTGTTCTGTCATTTACCAGCTGCTTGCTTTGGGGCAATTTATGTAGTGTCTGTGTGGCTCAGTTTCTTCATCTGTACAAGGGTGATAATGATAGCACTTTATTACACTTGTTGTAAGGATTAAATGAGATTGCATTTTGGAATGTTCCACCCACATAAAAAGCAAATTTGCTGTGGCTGTTATTGTTAGAAAGTTAGCAATACTGAAGGTCAGATACCTAGCATCCTGGTCTTTGGGAGTTTTCTACTAGAATGTACGGGAGCCTGAGCTGGCCATCAAAGGTTACTGTGGCTTCCGTGAGGCAATGGAGTCAGATTTTTATCCTCACCTTTAACTTAATTGGTTTTTCTTATGTTGTGCTCCTTCTTGTCGTTGTTTTTAGGATAAGAAAGTCTAAACATACTTAAGAAAACAGGAATGTTGTTTTTGGAGTAATCTAATTCTTCTCAATGAAATGGACTCATATTTTTACTGACTCTCAAACCAGTGGTCATTTTTTTGTTGGATTTATCTAAGCTTTAGCCATCTTTTCCTAAAAACTGAAATATTTTTGAAGAAAAAGGCCTAAACCATCAAGAGTTAAATGACAGAGTTTTCCAATTAATATGAAAATTTCTCAAGTTCTCTTTAGTGGGAGCGGTCCCCAAACTCTAGGGCTCAAAGGGGTGGGAGGTGTGGCAAACACCAAGTGGTCTCATGCAGCACGTTGGTAGCTGGAGTTTTGAGTGCTTCTTCTTTGCTAGGGACTACTTTAGAGTATAAGAGAAAGAGTTGACAGTCTTGGGGGAAACAGACTTGTGAGTGGATTCTTACAGATAGTGCAGAATGATGTAAAAGTGCCCTGGGAATGCCAAGAAGGGAGCATTAACGGTTGCTGACGGTTGCTGACTTGTTTTGTCATATTAAGAACCCCAGTGCTCCTAGCCTTGCAGCACCTTCTGGTTGGCAAGCAGAGCTTCCAAATGGAAATGCAAGTGGAATTTTACTGGATTTCAATAACCTCCCACAAATTCTTTCTGATCTGCATTCCCTAAGAGTAGGGGAGACAGTAGCCCATTTCTGTTCTTGACCTCATTGGCCATTTCTTGCTGTGCTGTGGACTCTAGACGGACCGTGTTGAGTGAGGCTGCCAGTTTTGAGAGTGTCAGGCACACTTTTGAAGCATTAAGACTTCCACTGTCAATTAGACACATTCAGATTCTTTGAGGCAGAGCCAACTACTGCATTTATTGAGCCTCAAGATCTGAAGTTGCTGCAACATTTAAAAAACTTAGTCATGACTCAAGGGGTCACACTGATTTATCCCTTTTCTTGGGAAGAGTGGCATATGTTTTTGGAATGAGAACTTAGATGTAGACTGCTATAGAGTAAAATTTCAGTTTTTATAACAGGGAACTCAATAGTGGAGTGCTGAAGCCATGGTACCAGGCTGCTGTGTGAGTTATAGGTTAGTTCCAGTCATTAATAGTTTATTCAATGTTAAGAATAACTGCTCTAGAAAAAAAGAATAGTACCAATCAAGCAACCAACCAACCAACCACAGAGGAGCAAAGGACCTGCTTATGAATTCTATTCTTTCTGTCCAGAAAAGCAAGTACATTTTCCATGGGTCCAGTATTCTACTTTTTCTCACATACTGAATTCTGCTATCAAAATTTACTCCTCAGTGTTCACTAAAGCTGCCAGAGTGTCTAGAATCTGACTGAAATGGCAAGAGAAAACACATCACTGGGCTGAAGGGGGGCTGAAGTTTAAA